AGGCTTTTCCTTCGTCAACACTTCTCTCAAGTTTTTCGTACAACCTTTGGACATACAGCGACTTGCCTAAAATAGAAGAAAAAAACAATAACTGGTTGACAGAAGTCATAGCATTAATAATAACTGAATATGAATGACAAATTATTTTATTTCTAGGAAGCAATAACTGTGTTATCACAAGACAAAAAACCAGATCTAATTCTGCATCCTGTTTTCTATATAGACACTGTAATGTAAAACTTATTTTATTTCCCAAAGTGGACAATTGGTGCTTTTGCTATATTGTTCAACTTGATTGTCATAGTTTATTCGATCTTTATTATTTATTTATTTATTTATTTATTTATTGTACTTTTAAGCTTTTACTATCAAAATGGACAGGACTGGGGGATGGGAAAAAGAGAGAGGAAAATGGGGAGAGAGTTAACAGAAGGAGAGTGAAAGAAACATAGAGGAGAAGGGAGAGAAAAAAGACACTGAAAATCTGTTTGATCACCTGCCAAAACAAAAAACAAGCAAAAAGAAAACATAGTAGGCAAACCACAGCAACAACCAACATACAGTAAATAATAAATATTGAATGTTACTGTGCAGCATACCTGTTTGCAGTGTTGAGAAGAAGAACTTTTAAAATGTATTCCACTACAGATTACAGAATACATGCCCCAACATTGGATTTTGTAACGTATTCCATTACGTTACTCAATGAGAGTAATGTATTCCGAATACTTTGGATTACTTAACATATTATCAAGCTTTTTATGACCACATGAATGTACTACTGCTGTGTGATTTATTACTATTACTAAAGGATAGTCGCCATACCAATACCAACTAGATTTTTAATAGCTTACTTAATACTGGGCTACACTGCCCATGAGGTTACTCCACAACACTGCCTGTTTGTACACCTGTCTGAACACCCATGTGTGTAAGTGTGCTTGTATTCATAAGGTTTCTCCATGTAACTGTCTAATAATAGGTGTGGGGAGCCATAGCCTTGCCCCTCAGGACATGAAGCAGACATGGTGGAGATCCAGGCCCCACACATGGGGACACGGCAACAAGACTGCAGGCTCCTCTGGCAGCTGGCTACGCCAGTGCAGACCAAGCCCCGGGCTCAGAGACCTGAGGGCTCTCCTCACTCCGGAAGGGGCCTGACCTAGCCAGGGGGACCAATCCCCAGCAAGCAGCCACTGGGAGTGAGCCAGACCAAACCAGAGCACCCAGTCCTGGACACAGAGAACCAATGGCAGGGAGTATGGTGAGGAGATAGGCCCCCATACCTGGGGGGACCTCCTGCTGGGCCCCTGTGCATTCACCCACCCACAACCCTGATGACACACCAACCAGGACCCAACCCCCCCCAAGGCCCAGCCAGAACCCCAGCCTGGAGGCGGAGCATCCCCAGAACTCCAAGTCTGCCCTGGTTCCAACCCGGACCAGCCCGGCTACCAGGCCAGTAACCTACATCCACCGGCATAGACCCTCTCCCAGCCCTGCTGCAAGCAGCTGCCAGAAAAACACTACCCAAGTGCCACCAGAGTCCCATCCAGGTTATGACCACAGGCCTTGGGTGAGCCCCCAAGAAACTCGTCCCTAGGTAACCCCCAGACATCCCAAGCCCGTACCTACACCTGCTTTAACTACAATAATGAAGACAGGATGAAACCACGACCCCCCCCCACTAGGTGATGGAGCCCAGAGAGATTGATTTAATGTGGCGGTAGAGGCTGTATCAAGATTAATGTGATCTATCAGATGGTTTCTATATTGGTTAGAATTAAGATTTTTTTTAAATTCAATTCAATTCAATTTTATTTATATAGCGCCAACTCACAACAGTTGCCTCAAGGCCTTTATATTGTACAGTAGATTGTACAATAATATATTCAGAGAAAAACCCAACAATCATATGACCCCCTATGAGCAAGCACTTTGGCGACAGTGGGAAGGAAAAACTCCCTTTTAACAGGAAGAAACCTCCGCAGAACCAGGCTCAGGGAGGGGCGGGCCATCTGCTGCTGACCGGTTGGGGTGAGAGAAGGAAGACAGGATAAAAGACATGCTGTGGAAGAGAGACAGAGGTTAATAACAGATATGATTCAATGCAGAGAGGTCTATTAACACATAGTGAGTGAGAAAGGTGACTGGAAAGGAAAAACTCAATGCATCATGGGAATCCCCCGGCAGCCTACGTCTATTGCAGCATAACTAAGGGAGGATTCAGGGTCACCTGGTCCAGCCCTAACTATATGCTTTAGCAAAAAGGAAAGTTTTAAGCCTAATCTTAAAGTAGAGATAGTGTCTGTCTCTAACAACGAAGGTAGGAGGGGCCTGAAAACTGAAGGCTCTCCTCCCATTCTACTTTTAAATACTCTAGGAACAACAAGTAGGCCTGCAGTGCGAGAGCGAAGTGCTCTAATAGGGTGATATGGTACTACAAGGTCATTAAGATAAGATGGGGCCTGATTATTTAAGACCTTGTATGTGAGGAGCAGGATTTTGAATTCAATTCTGGATTTAACAGGGAGCCAATGAAGGGAAGCCAAAACAGGAGAAATATGCTCTCTCTTTCTAGTCCCTTTCAGTACTCTTGCTGCAGCGTTTTGGATTAACTGAAGGCTTTTCAGGGAGTTTGTAGGACTTTGTGATAATAATGAATTACAGTAGTCCAGCCTGGAAGGAATAAATGCATGAACTAATTTTCAGCATCACTCTGAGACAGGATATTTCTAGTTTCAGAGATGTTGCGCAAATGGAAAAAAGCAGTCTTACATATTTGTTTGTTTATTTGTGCATTGAAGGACATATTCTGGTCAAAAATGACTCCAAGGTTCGTCACAGTGTTACTGGAGGCCAAGGTAATGCCATCCAGAGTAAAAATCTGGTTAGATACCATATTTCTAAGATTTTCAGGGCCGAGTACAATAACCTCAGTTTTATCTTAATTTAGAAGCAGAAAGTTAGCGGCCATCCAGCTCTTTATGTCTTTAAGACATTCTTGCAGTTTAACTAATAGTTGTGTTTTATCTGGCTTCATGGACAGATAGAGTTGGGTGTCATCTGCATAGCAGTGAAAATGTATATGGTAAATGGCCTGTATCTGTATAGCGCTTTTACTAGTCCCCAAGGACACAACAAACGAGACTGTCCGAGCTGGGGCTCGAACCTGCAACCTTCCGATTACAAGGCAAACTCCCAACTCTCGAGCCATGATTGCACCACATATATTATGTCTTCTAATGATACTGCCTCGGTGAAGTATGTATAACAGCGGTCCCCAAACTTTTTTGTGCTACGGACTGGTTTGTGCTCATTTATAAGCCTTTAATTCATGTTAATTTGTTTACAGGCAGCTCATATTTTACAAAGATTGGCAAGAAAATTCTATTTTCACGGACCGGCCTTTAAGGTGTCGCGGATAAATACAACCAAATAAAACTAGTACCGCTACCGAAAAAAAGAAGATTTATTCATAACACACGTGAAAAGACCCAGGAAAACCGAGTTAATGAAAAAAACGATAACAAAATAATGCTAAAACCCGATAAAAACCCTGAAAACCATACATTTCACACCCGAGTCTCAACTCTTGCGGCCCGGTACCAAATGACTCACGGACCGGCCTGGGGGTTGGGGACCGCTGATGTATAATGTAATCAGAATTGGTCCTAGCACTGAACCCTGTGGAACACCATAATTGACCTTAGTATGTGAAGAGGACTCTCCATTTACATGCACAAATTGGAGTCTATTAGATACATATAATACAAATACGATATGATTTCCAGTTCATGAGGACAGTCTTCTTGGCAATGCATAGGGCGATGAGAACCATGTGGAATGTATTCAGTATTCATCTCTGTAGTGACATCATCTATGTTGCCCAACAAAAAACTGAAGGAAGGCTGGAATGTTTCACATTCAGTGTGGCTGTAATTGTCAGGTGTATTGTCTTGACAGTGTGAGCAGTACACAGTAGTATTTTGTATTGTATTAATTGTAGACTGGGATTTCTAATCAATTGAAATGTTTTTAAGCACTTTTGAGACCAGAAGTTTTGGTCTAAGCTGACTGATGGATCCACTTCCCATTTTTGCAATAGGAAGGGATTTTGACTCATCTATTTTTCAGAGTGTCTTGTACATTTTAGACAGTAATTTGGGGGTTTTGAGATTAAGGAATTGTACCACACTTAATTTGACTTGATAAGGTTTTCTTTTTTACTATAGATTTAATTTATTGGTATTCTAAAAGTCTTTTCTTCTTAATCCCATTCTGTATAACCAATATGTCAAATGGAATAAATATATGTTTAAAGGGATTAAATAGAAGTATGTAATTGCTTTACAACTCCAATCTAGGAAGTTATGTTAGGGTTGTTCCAAACGGGAGTACGTTTGTATGGTATTAATGAAGACTCAGTCATTTTTAGAAACTCCAATCAGAGAGGAGCTGATGTTGATGCTTTTAAAGCATACGTGTCGTTTGATGTTTGAGCTAATAAATGATAGGTCCAAATCTTGATATTATTGCATAGTGCCTGTTCTACTTCTAGCTGGGGCTCATCTAAGATGGTGTGTTTTAACCATCCTGAGATGAATTGTAGCCTGTTGGCTAGGAAGTAATGTTGAAAGGCAGATCTAGTCCTCGTTTATCCGTGGTCTTTCGTAACATTTTTAAGCTATTATATGGGGGTTAATCTTTCCAAAGGAATTTAGAAATATACAATTCCATAGATCTAAACCAGTCTAGTGATGTTTACTCGGGATCATTGTAAATAAATAATTGATTCCTGAAAAGACAGTCGTTTTTATTGAAGCATAAACCACTTTATGTCATGGTTCCTGTGTCTCCCTGGATGGCTCGAACGGGCTACAGGTATTTGTTGTTATTTTTTCCCTTTCGCTCTCTTTCTCTCTCTCGTCTGGGCGGAGCTCACTGTAGGCTCCACTCTTGGCCAACACACCTGCAGGTGATTGCTCACCTCATTATTCCTGCCTCTCCCAGCCACCATTTAAGAGGGTGGCTCAGTGTTTCTCGTCGCTGGAGCATTAAACGACTATCGTTAGCGTTGCCCGTCTGTAAAATTGTCTCCAGTGTTTCCTTCGCGGCTTTCCTAATGTTAATTCTCTCATCTGTCTTCATACCTAGATTCCTTGGTTCTGTCCGTGTTTCCCATTCCTTGATTACTCGAGCATGAGTGTGAGTTACAAGCGGGGCAAGCAGTAAAGAAGAGTGTGTTGTGTGGCTTGGCAAAAGAGGAGTGTGTATTACCTTTAACATTCCCTGTCTAGCACTGGACCACCCCCACCACCTTTTACCTCCCCTCGTTACTTGTACATAGTCACCCAGTGTGTTGTAAATACATCCTTTGCACCTTTCTCCCTGTCTGTGCTTAAGTCCGTTCAGTCCACCGTGACACTTTATTTACAATCACTGGTACAGCTAAAAGAAGATTTGCTGAAAATTTTGATGACATTATAAACAATTGCGTAAACTAATCATGAAAAATTCACATTCTTAATACTCACCTACTCCTGCCCGACTGGAAGCAACAATACCCAAAGAATGTCCACCTTTGAACACAGCATTCTTGTAATCTGAAGTAACTGTGTAATGCCTGGACAAATACTGTTGGATCTTTTCCAGTGGCTCCTGTGGCACGAAGTCTGTTTTGTACTGACTGAATGCAGTAGGAATGTAAGTATGCTCCCTGTCAGAGCTGCAAAAGATCACTAGTCTGTAATCATTTTTAGGGGAGCATAATTTCTGAAAACATTTCTCCATTGCACAGCTAACATCATAGGAAAGTTGGTCTGCCCAGAGCATCGAGTAAATCTTTCTGCCAGTGTCACCTGGTGTGAGACATCTTCTCAGAAAAAGCTCTACTTGTTCATAAGATGTTGAAGGGGAACACAAGAGCACTTCATCATAAGTTGGCAGTGACCCGTAGTAGTCGTTCATGTACAAGCAGATACTTGATGTCAGGACCTCATCATGTGGGCAGATTATGAGATTAGGTTGTTTTGAGTTTAGGCCTTTTGGAAACTCCCTTCTGAGTGAACAGTCTCTCGTCTCTGAGAGTTCTGGTTCCGCTTCCCACTCATTGTGATTTGAATTGTCTGTCATCAATTGTAAGAGACGTCCTAAACTCCTAATGTCTAGTAGGTCATGAAAAAATATTTCCTCATTCTTCATGTAGCCATTCCACAACTCCTCCAATTCTTTCAAATCAGGAGTCTGGTCTGCCTCATCTGCTGCGTCACTTTCATGTGCAAAATGAATAACACTGTGTGAAGATGAATCCCTGTGTTCATTATCCCTTTTGCGAAGTTCATATTGGTTATGTCTCCAAATACTCCAAACATCTAATGTTGTGCAGTTTGGTTTGATAAAAGAAAGCATCATCAGTGCTCTGTCTTCTATTTCTGTATTTATATTTGTTGGAGTCAAAACGCTGCACAAGTAGAATATTTGTTGTGCTGTGAAATAGTTCAAGTAGTATTGATCTGTTCTCTGTTCGTCCATGAATTTTTGCCAGTCACCAAGAAACATTTCCATCTTATTGGACAGAGCTACAAGCTGTTCAGGTAAACTTCCAGTTACTTTGAAGCAATACTGGGTTTTGCAAAACTTGATTTCCATAATGATACATGGGTCACTCTGAGTTTTGCAATAAATCTTAGCTTCCCAACACCTAAAAATTGGGTTCCCTGCAGTGTAAATGTCTACAAATGCTTTGGCGAATCTTTGGATGTTGTCAAACACCTGAAAATAAAAGGAAATGGGATTATATAGTTATTATAATTATATAGTAATATATTATATATCTATCTATCTATCTATCTATCTATCTATCTATCTATCTATCTATCTATCTATCATTATCTATCTATCTATATATCTATCTATCTATCTATCTATCTATCTATCTATCTATCTATCTATCTATCTATCTATCTATCTATATACTTCTGTACTGTTTGTGTCAGTAACAATTTACAACAAAGTCAAACCTCAGTGAAGCGTTCAACTTCACTCTGGTTCTGTTGTTTTTTTCCAGACATCAGCATAAGCTTATTTTGCAGCTCTTTGAGGTCCTCATAGGTATATGTCATGTTTTTATGACTATCGTCAATTTGCAGTGTCAGGGAATTCTCGACATTAACCTATAAAGGGAAATATCAAAATTATAATACTATTTAATACTGTTAAAAATTCAACTCAGCTCAAAGGAAAATTAATCTCAGCCCACATGAAGATTAATTTCTCAGATTTTTTTTAAATTCAGAAAATTACAAGAAATAACCATATGAAAAGTAACAAAAAAAAGTTAAGAAAACAAAATATAGCAACACATATGTGATATTACAGTTGTGGAAATTCTTTCAAAATTAAGGATTATTGTCATGTAATCATGTATGTACCTGTTGCTGGTCTTGTGCCTTAATGATATATATCCCTCTGTTATTGACAGATGTAGCCATAGACAGAGATGAGAATTCAACAGATCCATGACTTTCTCTAACAGACTTTAACCATTCCAGGTGTCTGGAAGTATCCCACTGAAATGAGACATCAGTCAAAAGAAATGAACAGAGCAAGTTCTGGCTTTGCAATTTCAGCACTTTAAACATCAGAGCCTATAATTAATGTGAATGCCGTTTTAGTTTCGGAGATTAAAGACAGTTCTCATATCTTGGGCAGAAATAGCCAAGATGGAGGGCACTTTTTAAACTGCTATTTCTTGGTGAATTTTACTGGTATAGACACAAATAACATCTATTTTGTCTCTTTTGCTCTTTTGTCAGGCCTTTTACTCAAACAATGCACCATGAATTTTTTTTTTTATGCAAACTGGAGACTATTGAGTAGGATACTTGGTTGATTTGAAATAAAATTAACCTATGCGAATTACAGCAAGCAAGTTATTTGATCATATTTGTTTATTTGCATCACAGGCAAAGTATTTTGTACATGGGGCTTGTTTCTTTATCAGTTACTATAGCAGTACTTCTACCTGTTTCTATGCTGATCTACCATTTTTTTCCATGGTTGCATTTTGCTCAGGTATTTTAACTCTGGTTTGACTGGAGTGTTAATGTTAGTTATAGCATTGCATGAAAGATGGAATCTTACCAGCTTTTTTGGTATATTTTGGTCATTATCAAGTGCCTTCCACAATTTTTTTAACGATTCATTGAACTTCGCAAAATCAGAATCCTGCTTCAGATCATACAGCATGGATGAGTAACCAAGAACAGCATCATGAAAGCAGGCCACTCGATCGACATCCATATCATTTTCTCCAGCAGAGATTGATGCCAGGTCAACAAACACTTTCAGCTCATTGATGTCTGCAATTAATAGCATCCTTCAGATGTTGTAAAATGCATTTAATTTTTAATAATCAAAAAATGAAATCTCTGTACTTTTAAGTTCTTGTTTAGTCCACTGGATAAAGTCTTTACACTGAATGAGACTTTTGCAGACATTTCTTACGATCGTCTGAAATGTCTTTCAGAATATTTTTTGCATGTAGAAAAGCATCATCAATGTAGCTTAGATTGTTTTTCTTGAAGTTGGATTCATTCTGAAAAATGCACATTTACACTAAACGGCTAGAGTTTCTTCAAATGAACTTATTTGCAATGATCTTCAGTGGGTGTAAACATACCATTTGAAGCAGTTTCTTCAGTACTCTGAAGTCCCCTTGTGGACATATTATATTTTTGATATTCATGACAATTTCGGAAGTTTCCAGTACTAGATGAATATCCTGGTACTGCTGAATCTGGTTAACCCTTTCACTGATCCATGATTTGTTATCAGATGGGTCTACTCTGCACATGATGTTTAATTCTTTCTCCAAGTCTTCATACTTGCCTTTATAGGCTTTAAAGATACTGTCAGTTTCCTCCAGTAGAAGCTCCCCACTCTTAAGACTAACATGAAGCCTTTTGTAGTTGGTGTAGCAGGTCTGGAATATTTTGTTATAAACCTGCTCAAAAGTGTAGATTTCTTGATTTCTGTCACTGTTGCCTTCTTGAGATTGGTCTCTTGTCAGTACCTCCACTTGGTTTGTCCAGCACATTTTGAAGAGTCCACTGTCTTTAATGGTATGGATATTAGAAGCCATCTTGTGGGTTTCATCACACAGGTTGAAGTAAGTGACATTCGATGTTGCACTAGAGTTCAGGCCATCCAGTGTGTGAACCTTCATAAATTCACTCAGATTCATTGTCTCAAAGTTCTGCTTAAGTTTCGTATCCAAACCATTCAAGTCAACTGTGGATTCAATGTGGAAAAGCTGTTATTACAAAAATGTTTGTACATATTAAACAACAACAATTTTTCTTAGCCTTAACTGCAGTATTTTCAGCCTCAGTGTCTTTCAAGTCAAAATTGCTGGAAATTAATGGCTGGAAGTTAACAATTGTCATCTCTATGCTGAATTGACATGGGGGAACTGGTTTTACAAAGGGCATGCACGCAAATGCTAAGTAACGCAATGTATGCTACTTCAATTGCATACAATTGTAGTCCATACAGACAATGTTCATTTGTAAATGATTAACTAACAATCTTGAGCTTAAAGTGCTTTGGCAATATTGTAGAAAATGTTAAACTTAATCATCATCTCGGCCTCCTCTGACGACCTGTTTGCTGTTGCATGCTGCTGAAAGGCAGTGGGGAGAGGGGACACTTGGGCAGTGCATTTATTGCAGCATATAATGTGTTTTCTGGATACACTGTGCTTTTTCAGCATTCAAAGATTGATGGCACCGTGTCAGAGCACTGGCTATGAATTTCAGACGGATCAGGCCTTAACTTAACAAAAAAGTTATCAATAGTTCTTTTCATCTTTTCTTATTACCCACAGCTACATCCACTTCTGTCGGGCCTAGGCTGCTCACTAGGGCTGGGTATCATCACTGATTTCTATAATCCATTCGATTCAGTTCTCAAGTCCTGATTCGATTCAATTTAGCCTCAGACAGTCAGAAATATTATAATTCTGATCATTTATCAGTACTGATACATGTGAGACTTCATCAGAATTGTGAACATCACAGCAGATGCCTTTGTGTGAAAGTAACTGAGAATAAAACACAGAAAAACATGAAGGAGATTTTCCTGGTCTGGCTTTTTATAGCAGATAACCTTAAAAATATTCTGCAATATTCTGCATAATTTTAAAAGTTTAAATTTCTTCAGTATTGAACAGCAGAAATTAGGCTTTCTTGTCCGAGGTCATTTAAGTGAAAAAAAAAAAAAAAGAAGACAGCAGCCGACAGCGCTGTAAACAACGGTAGACTGGTGGGTAATAAGCGAATGAATAATACAGAAAACAGAGATTGGAGACAGGAAACTGTTCTTGAAGTACAGAGAGAGAGAGAGAGAGAGCTGTGCATGAAGTGTGATTTTAATAGTCGTGGAAGCAAAACAGCAAAATTCATGACGACATTGATCAAATGTGAAGCGCAGTTTGCTGCTTCTTTTGCTGCTGGCTCGGTGAATTTTGGTTGGAGAGAGACAAAACCTGCAGCTCAGAATCAGCGCAAAAAGACGTAAACACAGCGCGGACCGGACGCATCAGAATCGCTAAGCTCCGACAGCGTGTCCGTCTGCGGGCCGTCGGGTGAGAAAGCCGAGAAAGACAAAGCTGATTCTGATGCGTCGGGTCCGCTCTGTGTTTCTCTT